AAGACCTTTGAAATCCCATATATGAGCTATCAGCCCTGTGTTTAGATACGAAATCTCTCCCTGATCCAAGACTCATCTCACTGCAGGGTGATAGGACACCCCATCTACTCACCCAGAAAAAATCAGGACATTCTGATGTGGAGTTTCAAAATAAAAGACCTTTGAAATCCCATATATGAGCTATCAGCCCCGTGTTTAGATAAGAATAAAACGAAATCTCTCCCTGATCCAAGACTCATCTCACTGCAGGGTGATAGAAGGACACCCCATCTACTCACCCAGGAAAAAATCAGGACATTCTGATGTGGAGTTTCAAAATAAAAGACCTTTGAAATCCCATATATGAGCTATCAGCCCTGTGTTTAGATACGAAATCTCTCCCTGATCCAAGACTCATCTCACTGCAGGGTGATAGAAGGACACCCCATCTACTCACCCAGAAAAAATCAGGACATTCTGATGTGGAGTTTCAAAATAAAAGACCTTTGAAATCCCATATATGAGCTATTTAAAATGTTTATAAAACATATATATTTTAAAACAGTTTTCTGTTGTCTGTTTTTACATCATGTTTCTATGTTTCCCTCAAGTTAATTACCTGATTCTGTTTACCTGGTGCCTGTTGTGGCGATCCAGAATAACACAACATGAAAGAATGAAACAGAGAGGAATCAATAAAACACAAACACAGATATAGCTGATCAGTAATTATTATTTAGTTGTTGCAACAAACAAACAATAATGAGAAGTACATCACCTGCTGCCACAGCAGCCAATCGTGGAAATGCCCCCCAACAGTAGCAACAATCATACAGCATATATAGCCACTGCAATGAACACACACACATTTTCACTAAGCATGTTCAACGCACACACACCCTATCATGCAGCCTACCACACAAATGTCACATGTCCCTCTCTCCAGGAGCCACACCTGTATATGTTCAAACTTCATCATCTCATGACATTCACACGAGCAGTCAACACACAAAGGTTAACTGTCTCTATAACCTGAGGCCTTCTCTGGACTTCCCCCATCCTCGGTGTCAGCTCACTTAAAATGAACACATCCATTGACAACCCAGAACGACCACTGTCTCTCCAACTCTGTGACCCAACTCAGTAACACACATCATATAGCTTACGTGTGATCTTTAATGAATATCATAAATAGGCTTGTATTAAACATTGCTACAACAGTGGCCATGTGTGTTTCTTACCCTCCCAGCTGTGTCTTGTCCTTGTGATTAATTTCGTCTGTATAAGTGCCTGTCTGCCCCAGTGTTTCTTCTCAGTTCGTCGTTGTTCCAGCCTATGTCTTGCCCTGCGTATTCCCTCGTGTTGTCATTGTGGATTCCTGTTTCTCGTGCCTTCCTGGTTTGTTACTTTGTTTTATTTGTGTTATATTCTAGACATAATATTTACAGTTTTCCTCAGTTGCTAACACACTAAAAGTATACATAAAGCACAATTATTTTAACTGACACTGAAAGAGCAACACATCAGCTCAAATCTCCAAAACTAAACACGTTTTCAGCTTTTCACACAATTTGCAAATCAACATGGCACTTTTTGCAAACCACTGCACACGTTTCTCCACGTAAGACACAGGCATCTGACATTAAGTCACGTGTTAGCAGGTTTAAAACACTGATATTCAAAATGCCTCATAAATGGACCAATGATCAACAAACACGTTCCACCTGACCAAACACCTGAAAGCATAATTGTTGGTTCGTCAATCAGGGTGTTAGCACTATAAAAAGACCATAGGTGAGTACTTTCTTACAGCAACAATGGAAGCCAACATGGAAGCAAGAGGAAGAGGAAGAGCTGGGCTGAGAGTTGAGAGTGAGAGGAGGAGGAAGAGGTGGGGTGAGAGTGAGAGGAAGAAGAATGAGGGATAGAGGTGGAGAGAGGACGTGGACAAAGAAGAATACTCTCAAATGAAATGTTATCAATCAATCAATCAATCAATGTTTATTTATATAGCCCAATATCAGAAATGTTACATTTGTCTCAGCAAACTATGGACGGTCTTCATAGTTTGTACAGAATATCAGTATGACAATACGACACCCTCTGTCCTTAGACCCTCACATCGTACAAGGAAAAACTTCCAATATCAACCATGGTTTGACGATGAGAGAGGCTGGACAGAGGGTTCAGCCTAATCTAAGCCGATTTACTGTTGCCTCTGTAATCCGGACACTTAGACTTGATAACAGGTTACCAGTTTGTAGCTCTGCATAATTCATGATATATCGGTGCTTATATCTGTTCTGTGAAACGTATTTACTTCATTACTGTAATTGAATTGTTGGCATGTTGCATACTATAACTGTACAAAAATCCTGCACAATGTACTGTGGTAAACTTACCTTTATGCAACACAGACACTGACCAACCACTATGTCTTTGTTGTTTATCTGAAGGACTGAGAAACAAAGAGGTGCAGGTGGAAGACTAAGGATTTTCAATGAGGCACAGGCAGCAGCAGTTAAAAACTTGGTTTTGGCAAACAATGCCATCACACTTAGAGAGATCCGAAGCATAGTAACTATGTGCTGAGATGCATGTTGCACAATGTTATCAAACTCATTTGTATTTATTAATTTACTGTATTTCTGTATACTCAAGCACTCTTTCTCTGCAGAAACCTCTATGTACAGAGCATAGCCCATAAAATATGTGGTCAAACAATCTAGTATTATGAATGAAGTGTGAATGAATATGTGGTGCTAAAGTTTGCATTTGGTAAGTGTTTAAGTAGTTTTGAGTGCAGTTCTTCACAGGAGAAATTAGGTGTTTTGCACTTTAGGTGTGTGGTTTTGTGAATTGTGTTTAGTGTTCTGAGAAAGTGAGCAATTTAAAAAAAGATGTGTGTTAGCAATCGAGAAAAATGTAACATAAATTGTACACCTTGAAAACCATCCATTACAAAATAATAATATTCAAAACTAATAAATCAGAATATACACTTTAGCAAATACCACAAGTAAACTATAAGGACTATAATAGTGCATTTCTGTCTAAAATTTGATTTCACTTTTACCTCGCCTGCTCCTTTTGTGTTTTTGTCCTCAATATCTGCCTCCCTTGTTTTAACACTGTTTGGGTCCTACCTTACCATTTTATTTTGAAACTATATATCAGAATGTCCTGATTTTTTCTGGGTGAGTAGATGGGGTGTCCTTCTATCACCCTGCAGTGAGATGAGTCTTGGATCAGGGAGAGATTTCGTTGTATTCTTATCTAAACACAGGGCTGATAGCTCATATATGGGATTTCAAAGGTCTTTTATTTTGAAACTCCACATCAGAATGTCCTGATTTTTTCTGGGTGAGTAGATGGGGTGTCCTTCTATCACCCTGCAGTGAGATGAGTCTTGGATCAGGGAGAGATTTCGTTTTATTCTTATCTAAACACAGGGCTGATAGCTCATATATAGGATTTCAAAGGTCTTTTATTTTGAAACTCCACATCAGAATGTCCTGATTTTTTCTGGGTGAGTAGATGGGGTGTCCTTCTATCACCCTGCAGTGAGATGAGTCTTGGATCAGGGAGAGATTTCGTTTTATTCTTATCTAAACACGGGGCTGATAGCTCATATATGGGATTTCAAAGGTCTTTTATTTTGAAACTCCACATCAGAATGTCCTGATTTTTTCTGGGTGAGTAGATGGGGTGTCCTTCTATCACCCTGCAGTGAGATGAGTCTTGGATCAGGGAGAGATTTCGTTTTATTCTTATCTAAACACAGGGCTGATAGCTCATATATGAGATTTCAATATGAGATTTCAAAGGACTTTTATTTTGAAACTCCTTACATTTTACATTTACTCGTGGTAGTTATACGTAGTTTGTTTTAAATAATTATTGATCACATTATATAGTACATATTTCTTAATTTAATATGTTTGGTTTGTTTTTATAGGTGCTTTTGTTATTGACCGAGTAAGCGCTGGGATTTTACCGTAATGCTTCTAATATTCGCGCACCCCAATATCACGTGCGGGCTGGCTTGACTGTGTTTTCCCAAGTGGAGGCTGGCTTGACCGCAGTGCTAAACTGGAGGATGGAACAGAAACCAACTGTGTGCAGGGAGAGGGGAGCGGAAACACTCTCTTCACTAGCGCTGTAGCAAGTTAGCTTTGAGCGAGAGCACTCAGCTAACTGGAGGATGGAACAGAAAACAGTTGTGCGCCGTGTGAGGGGCGAAGACACTCTTTTCACTAGCGCCGTAACAGTTAGCTTGAACGGGAGCACTCAACTAACTGGACGATATAACAGGTAAGGAACCAAATGTATGTAGTGAGAGGAGGGCGGAGACGCTCTCTTCACTAGTGCAGTAACAGCTAGCTTGAACGGGAGCACTCAGCTAACTGGACGATAGAATCAGGTAAGGAACCAAATGTATTAAGAGGAGGGCGGAGACGCTCTCTTCACTAGTGCAGTAACAAATTAGCGAGAGCCCTCGGCTAATTTGTACACAATTATCTCATTAGTTTGAGAATATATAGCAAAATCAGCAATAAACGGTAGCGATCTCACCGGCTGACGTGCAGGAGCGTCCGCTCTTTACCGATCCGGAGCTCCTAGGATCCGAACGGTGAACACTGAGAGAATTGAGGATTGGATTGTGTTACACGTGCCGAGTTCAATGCAATAGTATCAAAGCTCTCAAGTCTCACGCAGACACACGCATTTCACTCCATTCACACGCTCACACGCCACACCTTGTATTTCTCACGCAGATATTTCTTTCCAGGGTACCGCCCACCAAGTTGCGCCGCAATTTTGTAAACAAACTAGTACAGAATCACTGTAGCCACGCATCAACCAATCAAAAGAATGTAAGCTGTCGAACAGCCCATTAGAAAATAACATGGCTGTATCCGGGTAGGATTTAGACATTCCGCTACAACATTACATTCTGATTCCATTCCAATGATTAAGACGCTCGCTGAAGAGTAACCAAAGAGGACGGCTGTCACTCACTGACATTTTGCGTGGCTACAGACTGCTCGACGTGGGAGAAGACCATATTTTCAGTACAGTAAGTCATCTCATCATTGATTTCCGTTGTTATGGAATATATGTCCAGGGAGCTTTTAGCTAACAGTTTGACTGACTAGACTAGAGTATGCAGTGCTGGAATTGGGCCGGTACTCACCGGTACGCAGTACCGGCACTTCTGGTTCTGACCCATGGAGTACCGGTGTTGTGTCACATTATGCCTCCCCGTCATGAAATGCCCCCCTTGTCACGGGAACGCGCATTTCTAAATGACACGTTTACACCTCTAAATGACACGTTAACACCATAGGTTTACACCTTAAAACGATGTTTAAAACGAAAAGTAAACGTTCAGGGTTTTTATTAATGGTAATTTTCAGACTGTGAGTTGTTTAGTGGTAGCTCATAGTCTTGATTCTTCTGGTTTAACTTTTCACTCCGTATTTGAGGTGTCGAAATTCGTTCGTCACTTCCTTTTCAGTTTGTTTTTTTAAATGGTTTTTTTATCATTATTGTTACGTCCTGTCTGTATAAACGTGCTTTAAAATGTATTGTTTAATTTTACATAGTTGTCATCTAATAATCTAAATATGTTTACAAATGTTACATAGTCTTTGTCAGCATATATGCTATGCGTACAAAATAAAAGTGTGACATTCATGAAACTTGCTCCATTTATTGGTATCAGTCCTAGAACCATACCCTGAAAAATGCTTGAGGGTGGGATTCATAGAAACCTCTTTTGGTGGGGGGGGCATTATATGACAGGCCTGGCCATCACAATATGCCCCCCCTTGCTATCTTACAAAATAAAAGTGTCACATTCATGAAACTTGCTCCATTTATTGGTACCAGTCCTAGAACCATACCCTGAAAAATGCTTGAGGGTGGGATTCATAGAAACCTCTTTTGGTGTGGGGGGGAATTATATGACAGGCCTGGCCATCGCAATATGCCCCCCCTTGCTATCTTACAAAATAAAAGTGTCACATTCATGAAACTTGCTCAATTTATTGGTACCAGTCCTAGAACCATACCCTGAAAAATGCTTGAGGGTGGGATTCATAGAAACCTCTTTTTTTGGGGGGGGGGGCATTTTATGACAGGCCTAGCCATCACAATATTCCCCCCCTTGCTATCTTACAAAATAAAAGTGTCACATTCATGAAACTTGCTCCATTTATTGGTACCAGTCCTAGAACCATACCCTGAAAAATGCTTGAGGGTGGGATTCATAGAAACCTCTTTTTTTGGGGGGGGGGGGGGGGGGGGCATTTTATGACAGGCCTGGCCATCACAATATGCCCCCCCTTGCTATCTTACAAAATAAAAGTGTCACATTCATGAAACTTGCTCCATTTATTGGTACCAGTCCTAGAACCATACCCAGAAAAATCAACCAGCGCAATGACGGTCAAGCAGCTGTTATTGACAGCTACGCTATGACCGCCATCTGGAAACACAAATTTGGAAGAATCCGGGTATGTACATGATTGGAATGACTTTGCTTTTGTAAATGTTGCAAATGTGCATTTTTCAACAGGAATGTAATACTTGTGCAACTACTCTCAGGTTGATCCAATGGCACACAGTCATCGTGGGAATTGTGAACGAGAACCATCATTGGATGTTGGTGGTGAGAATAGGAGCATATTTTAAGCTCCAATCTGTATCTATAGTGCTGTATACACCATATATAATTAGTGATTTGCAAGATAACCGGGCCACACATACATGCTGTCACTTATTATTGATCAAATCTAAACAATACCCTACATCGTACCTGCGTAATGTATGGTTCCTGCCTAATGCATGTTGTGTTTCCATGTGAATAATAAAAGGTAATGTACCCCCATGAGAAGAAAACCCTCTTCTTGGATCCACTTGGAGAAGGGAAAGGCAAAACGAAGGTGTGCCTGCAGTCTACAAGGTACATTTGATACAGTGTACTAGTTCCGGTGTTTTATGAGTATTTTGACAATGATGTGCTGCATCTTGACACATGTACTATATACATACTGTAGAGCCTTTATGAGGATGAAAGGCTGCAAGGTGTCAAGATGGACATGCAGCACCCTCCCCCATAATCGCCAACAAGACAGCACATCCTGTGGTGTCCTGGCCTTAAAAGTGAGTGTGAAATGCATTTAGCCAAACATTACTCTCAAACTCAAATTCAGTAGCAATTAGACTGAATATCTTGACTTGCTTTTATACATCTTGATCAAAGATGTATTGAATTGTGTCAAACTACACATATACAACATGTCATTCTTTAAATCTGTTGGGTAATTTGTCTGTATTCCATTTGAGGGTAAAATCATAGACCATGCAGTCCATATACTAATCAAGGTTCTCTTCAGTTTGCAGAGAAGATTTTACTGGGGGAGTCAATTGAGTTTGAAACCTCACAGAAGGCAGTGCACGAGCTGAGGCTGGACATTGCTACTTCTCTCCTCAGAGAATCTGGTTTGTTACCTTTTCTCAACATTGTCAATGACTTCATGTAGTTACTTTTATTAATTGTATCTCATAAGTATGCATCAATAACCTAGTATATTAATAATGTGCCATGCAAATTGTTGTATTGTATCACTGCTTGGACCATTGGTACTGTTGACCAGGGACATTATCAGGGTTTTAAAAGCAACACAGTGGCTTAAGTATAGATTAGGGTAAATAGTCACTACATACAGTATATTGTGTATCTCAACTCCAAACAGATAACATATGAAGCATCGCAGGCAGGCATCTTCAACTGCAATTTCATATAGGCTACACACGTCACACTCTAACACACCCTTTCAATTCTGCGGTTTATTTAAGATGTGAGATTTCCCCATCTTCCTCCTTTCAATGTGCTCATTGGTGTGTATTACTTTTAACTGATATCCTCAGTTAATTTTTACCTTGAACTTATTATAATCAAAGCTGTAAAGCTAATGTGATGAACAACAAAAGAACCATGAGAACCAAACTTAAATTGATGCGTACAGTGCGAAAGAAGTTTTTGGATGTTTTGTAATGACATTGTGCAGGTTCCCATTCTAAAGAGGGTAAGGAGATAGTGAAAGAAGGAGCAGATGGCTCCTCTGTGCTCAGATTTAATCATTTAGAAAATCTATGTGTTTGTGTGTGTTTTGCCTTTTCTTCACACAAAATAATAATAGACCACAACAAATGTGTCCTTATATAATTGACCTTTTAGTCAAAAATTGGAATGGGTCACCTTGACCCCAAATCTGTAATGTGGTTTATCTGAAGATATTGATTACGTTTTGTCTCAACAGATGATCTAAGCAGGCTTTGCTTTTACTGCGGGATGGAGGAGCAGGATGAAGAACATTGGGTAATTTCCTATTGCACATTACAAATAAAGAAAATTAGCAGAAATATGTTTCCAGACTTTATCAACATAACATTTGCGTTGGTAATTGCTACTATATTTGGCATCTTCAGCATTAACTGATAAAGGATTAATGTTTTGCTTGTTTTTTCCATACATTTTTGTTGAAAATGTATTTCTTTCTCATAACACAACATTTATGTTTTTGAAAGATTTCGATAATTGAAGGAATGGTTAGAATGTTAGTGGGAAATACATTAGAGATATTCTATTATCATAACAAAATCCCATAATGCATTCCTTACATAACAAGTATTTATTGTTTTCTCAGATTTGCTGTGACATTTGTCAGCAGTGGTACCACCACCAATGTGTACAAAGGCCGCCAGTTGATCAACCGTACTTGTGCCCTGGATGCACATAATGCCCCGAAGGAACCATCATTAACTGTCCACTGTCATTTCAACCAATGCAACTATTGTTTGGCCTGTCATAAAATGCACCCCACCCCAAAAGAGGTTTCTATGAATCCCACCATCAAGCATTTTTCAGGGTATGGTTCTAGGACTGGTACCAATAAATGGAGCAAGTTTCATGAATGTGACACTTTTATTTTGTAAGATAGCAAGGGGGGGCATATTGTGATGGCCAGGCCTGTCATATAATGCCCCCCCCACCAAAATAGGTTTCTATGAATCCCACCCTCAAGAATTTTTCAGGGTATGGTTCTAGGACTGGTACCAATAAATGGAGCAAGTTTCATGATTGTGACACTTTTATTTTGTAAGATAGCAAGGGGGGGCATATTGTGATGGCTAGGCCTGTCATAAAATATCCCCCCCCCCCCCCCCAAAAAAAAGAGGTTTCTATGAATCCCACCCTCAAGCATTTTTCAGGGTATGGTTCTAGGACTGGTACCAATAAATGGAGCAAGTTTCATGAATGTCACACTTTTATTTTGTACGCATAGCATATATGCTGACAAAGACTATGTAACATTTGTAAACATATTTTGATTATTAGATGACAACTATGTAAAATTAAACAATACATTTTAAAGGACGTTTATACAGACAGGACGTAACAATAATGATAAAAAAAAACATTTTAAAAAACAAACTGAAAAGGAAGTGACGAACGAATTTCGACACCTCAAATACGGAGCGAAAAGTTAAACCAGAAGAATCAACCGGTACTGAGCAAGAAGTGCCGGTGTTGTGTCACATTATGCCTCCCCGTCATGAAATGCCCCCCTTGTCACGGGAACGCGCATTTCTAAATGACACGTTTCACCTCTAAATGACACGTTAACACCATAGGTTTACACCTTAAAACGATGTTTAAAACGAAAAGTAAACGTTCAGGGTTTTTATTAATGGTAATTTTCAGACTGTGAGTTGTTTAGTGGTAGCTCATAGTCTTGATTCTTCTGGTTTAACTTTTCGCTCCGTATTTGAGGTGTCGAAATTCGTTCGTCACTTCCTTTTCAGTTTGTTTTTTAAAATGTTTTTTTTTATCATTATTGTTACGTCCTGTCTGTATAAACGTCCTTTAAAATGTATTGTTTAATTTTACATAGTTGTCATCTAATAATCAAAATATGTTTACAAATGTTACATAGTCTTTGTCAGCATATATGCTATGCGTACAAAATAAAAGTGTGACATTCATGAAACTTGCTCCATTTATTGGTA